ATTATATATATATAATCACTTCAAAATATATATATATATATATACTATATATACTACGAGTAAATAATACCTATATATATAGTAGTATATATATATATAGTAATATAATATACTATATAGTAATATTATCTCTTACATATATCAGACCATGCACACCTCCCCTCCTGCGTCCCTAATAGACTCGCTCTCTCACTCTGCAATATCGCTCTCACACAGTGTCCACCACACACACACATAGTCCGGCAGCGGTCGTTTTCAGTCGCAACTCCATCGCAGACGACCACATCGATCCACCACACGTACACCAGCTGTCCCCTATGCCGCCGCCCCATCCCGCCCCTCTCCTCCGACGGCCCAGAACCCGCGCCTTCTATCTTTGAGGCTGCAAGTCACAGATGGGCATTTATCAATAAAAGCCATGCATGGGCCAAGGGAGCCACAGCATGACCGCCGCTGCACGCGAGTAATGCAAGATCCATATTGAGACGCATTTAACAGCTAGCGCCATCTGTGGGCCGTAAGCAACATCTGTGGGCGCGTAAGCAACATCTGCGCGCCTCTGTGGGCCGTAAGCAACATCTGGCGCGCGCATCTGTGGGCGCCGTAATGCATCATCTGCGCGCACATCTATTGTTTTCGTTTTTAGCATGAGGAGTGTTGTTCCATGTCCCCGCTTCTGTACATCTGGTATGCAATTTGCTGTTCTCGTGATGAGATTGTCTTCCCTGTGGCCCATTGGCGTTGATATTACCTTTGGGATATATGTCATGTTTTTTTTTTTTGTTTTTTCCTTTTCGTGGTGTTGTCTGTCATGTCTTCTTCTTTGTCTTCTTTCTTGTTCGTGTGTTTTCGTCTGGTCATGTTTTTTCTTCTTCTTTGTCATTTTTCCTTTCCTTGTTCGTCGTGTTTTCGTCTGTCCTGTTTTCTTCTTTGTCATTTCTTGCTTTGTCTCTTTCCTTTGTTCGTGTGTTTCGTCTGTCCTGTTTTCCTTCTTTGTCATTTTTCTTCCTTTGTCTTCTTTCCTTGTCGTCTGTTTCGTCTGTCTGTTTTTCTTCTTTGTCATTTTTCTTCCTTTGTCTTCTTCCTTGTTCGGTGTTTCCGTCTTCTGTTTTCTTCTTTGTCATTTTTCTCCTTTGTCTTCTTCCTTGTCGCTTCCGTCCGTGTCCTGTTTCGTCATTTTTCTTCTTGTGTCTTCTGTTCCGTCTCTGTCCTGTTCGTTTGTCATTTTTCTTCGTCTTGTCTTCCTTCTTGTTCGTGTCTTTCGTCTGTCCTTTTTCTTCTTTGTCATTTTTCTTCTTTGTCCTCTTCCTTGTTCGTGTCTTTCGTCCTGTCCTGTTTTCTTCTTTGTCATTTTTTCTTCTTTGTGCCTTCTTCTTGTTCGTGTGTTCGTCTGTCCTGTTTTCTTCTTCTTTGTCATTTTCTTCCTTTGTCTTCTTCCTTGTTCGTGTGTTTTTCGTCTGTCATGTTTTCTTCTTCTTGTCATTTTTCTTCCCCTTTGTACTTCTTCCTTGTTCGTGTGTTTTTCGTCTGTCCTGTTTTCTTCTTTGTCATTTTTCTTCCTTTGTCTTCTTCCTTGTTCGTGTCTTTTCGTCTGTCCTGTTTTCTCTCTTGTCATTTTTCTTCCTTTGTCTTCTCCTTGTTCGTGTCTTTCGTCTGTCCTGTTTTCTTCTTTGTAATTTTTCTTCTCTTTGTCTTCTTCCTTGTTCCGTGTCTTTCGTTTGTCCTGTCTCTCTGCTTCTTTGTCATTTTCTTTCCCTTTGTCCTCTTCCTTTGTTCGTGTCTTTCGTCTGTCCTGTTTTCTTGTTTGTCATATTTTCTTCCCTTTGTCTTCTTTCCTTGGTTGTGCTTCGTCTGTCCTGCTTTTCTCTTTGTCATTTTTTTTTCCTTTGTTTTCTTCCTTGTTCGTGTGTTTCGTCTGTCCTGTTTTCTTCTTTGTCATTTTTCTTCCTTTGTCTTCTTCCTTGTTCGTGTGTTTCGTCTGTCCTGTTTTCTTCTTTGTCATTTTTTTCCCTTTGTTTTCTTCCCTGTTCGTGTGTTTCGTCATTTACTCTGGCTAATCATCATCTTCGTCCCTCTTCCCCTATTTTCGTTTTTCCCTTCTCCTCTCTTCTTTCCTCAATATCGTGTTTCTTATTATGGATTCATCTCCCGTTTCCCGCTTTTTTTCTTTCTCTCTATCTTCTCGTCTTTATTCATAATAGAGTTTCCCATCATTTTTCTCTTTCGCCGAATTTCCTTCTCTTCGCTTCTCTCTCCTTTCCCACTTCCTACCTCCGTCATCATCGCCCTCTCCTTCTTCTTCTCCGTCACTACTCTCCCTTCACCTGCTTCTCTCCATCAGCTTCCATCACCATTCATTTTCTATTTCTTCCTTTTCCTCCTCTTCAACTTCCTCCATTCTTCACCTATCACTCCTCCTCCTACTCCTCCTTATCTATGCCTCTATTTTCTCTTCCTCCTTCCATCTTTCTTCATTATCCTCTTCTCTCCTTCCTCCTTCTATCAGCTATCACTTACCCTCCTCCATAATCCATCTCCTCATTCTTTTCTTCCACCCTCTTCCTACTTTTTCCTCCTCTCCTTCCTCCTTCATCTCCTCTTTCTATCATCACCACCACTTCTCTTCTCCTTATCTTTCTTCTTCTCCACCATCACCACCACTGGTTCCTCCTCCCCCCCCCCCACCCCTAACCCCTACCCTCACCCCGACCCACCGCACCGCTTCACCACACACCATTCAACACACCACCTCCCTCCACCATCGACCTAAACCCACGACACCTACACCCATCTACCACCACAAACCCCCATCCCCTCCCCTTAATCTACACCTCCACCACTCACCTTCACTCCACCATCACCAACACTTTTCCACCACCATCCCCATCCTCCACACCCCAACCACCTCTCGCCCACCACAACCCTTCCAACTCTTCTACAACACCACCATCCAACACCCCCTCCCCATCCCCTCCATTCACCAACCTACCCCTCCACCATCATCACCAACCATCCCCACCCCACTCTCCACCTCCAGCCCCTCCATCACCACCCCCTCCCCATCCCACATCACCACCCCTCCAAACCCCCCATCCCATCAACACCTCCACCACAACCCCACCATCACCCTCCCAGCCACCCACCACCTCCAACCCCTCCCCCCACCCCCTCCCATCCCCCCAAGGACCCCCCCCCCCACCAAAAGGGAAACCCCATACCCTTGACACCCATAAATGCCATGCCCCGAATTGAAGGCGCAGAGTCGTGAACGCGTCAGTCAGTGTAGCCATGACGAGAGAGAGAGTCCGCGAGAGAATTATGGCCAAGTCCGCGAAATTTCTCTGGCATTTTTCGTCTCTGGCATTTTTTTTCGACCTCCCTTCGCGAAATCTGAGAGAGAGAGAGAGAGGGAGGGAAGAGGGGAGGGAGGGAGGAAGAGGGGAGGGAGGGAGGAGAGGGGGAGGGAGGGAGGAAGAGGGGGAGGGAAGGGAGAGGGAGGGAGGGAGGGAGGGGAGGGAGGGAGGGAGGGAGGGGAGGGAGGGAGAGAGAGAGAGAGAGAGAGAGAGAGAGAGAGAGAGAGAAGAGAAGAGAGAGAGAGAGAGAGAGAGAGAGAGAGAGAGAGAGAGAGGAGAGAGAGAGAGAGATTTTTTTTTTCGTCTTGTCGACATTGATCTTATTTTCGTATCAACTTTTTTCCTTCTTTTCTTTTCTGTTCGTCATATTCGTTCTTTTTTATTCTTATTTACTTTTTTCCTTCTTCCTTCTTTTTCTTTTTTTACTTTTTCATTCACTACCTTTTTTTCTTCTTCATCATCAACTTATTCACCTTTTTTGAAAACCTTTTTCATTCAACATTTCCCCCCTCATTCAAGTTTTTTTTACTTTTTCTTCTTTCATCTAAATTCTCTCTCTTTCTTCTTCTTCATCTAATTCACCTCTCTTTCTTCTTCTCCTTCTCCTTCTCATTTTCCTTCTCTCATCCTCCTTTTTCTCCTCCTCCTTTTCCTCTTCTCCTCCTCCTCCTCCTCCTCCTTCTTTCCTCCTCCTCCTCCTCCTCCTCCTCCTCCTCCTCCTCTCACCTCGCTCCTCCTCCTCCTCCTTTCCCCCTCCTCCTCCTCCACCTCCTCCTTCTTCCCATTCACCTTGATTCCTCGTCCTCGTCTCTATTTGCGGTCGGGTCGCTAAATTAGCCAAGTAAAATCGCCAAACGTAAAACAGTCACATGATGGATGCAGAGGCAGACTTATTAACCCCGGAGGAGAAGCAGATGGATGGATCTGTTGGATAAATGTGTTGAGGTGGGGTTGGTGGGGGAGGGGGAGGAGGGAGGGAGGGATGGGAGGGGGAGGAGGGAGGGGTTGAGGGGGATGGGAGGGGGAGGGGGATGGAAGAGGGGGGCTGGAGATGGAGGGGAGATGGAGAAGGAGGGGGAGAGGAGGAGGGAGGGGAAGGAAGGGAAGGAGGGGGGAGGGGTAGAGGGAGGGAAAAAATGGAGAGGGAGATGGAGTGGGAGAGGGAGGGACGGCGTGAGGGACGGAGGGACAGGAGGGAAAGGGCGGTACAGAGAGGAGAAGGAGGGAGAGGGAGGGGAAAATGGAAAGGACGGAGGGAGGGGAGAGAGGGAGGGAGGGGGAGAAGAGGGAGGGAGGGGGAGAGAGGGGAGGGAAGGGGAGAGGGAGAGGGGAGGGAGAGGGAGATGGATAGGGAGGTAGATAAACAGAGAAATAGATAGAGAGAGGAAGAGCAAATAAGTGAGAAGGGAACTTGAAAGTAAAACAAAAAATAATAAGATAATTTTTTTGGTTCTTCCTCCACTTTTGGAACAAGAAACGCTTTCGTCATATCCAGTCCCTCTTAGGCACACACAAACAAATGCACAAACAACACAACAAAGTAAAAAATACGTACAGGAAATGCATTTACTCAAACAAATTAAGATAAGATAACCACAAAATCACAAATATAAGTTTAATACTCTAAAACAGACTCATACTACATACGCGTTTCTGTTGAAATCTTCAGAAGGCTCACGGGACCTGCAGTTGATGACGTCACGGGGTTACAACAATGACGTCACGTCGTTTACACCAATGGCAATGCGAAGTTCCAGCGATGACGTCACATCAGGGAGAAGAACGTCGGGGATTGGTCGAAGGCGTCGTGATGACGTCATGGCACGAAGGCGCGTCGAGAAACGGTGAAGAAAACACACGCGTTAATATCACAGTCGAAGAAACAGTGAGAGGCTTGTCAAGAAATACTTTTCTTCCTTGAGAGAGAGAGAGACAGTGAAAGCCTTGACAAATGAATATATTATTTAATGTATTATTCCTCTCCTGGGAAACACTGAAAAGGCTTGCAAATTTTTTTTTTTTTTTTTTTTTTAGTAAATATTTCCTTCTACAAAAAAGTGACGGACATATCAAAAAAAAAAAAAAAAAAAAAAAAAAAAAAATCTCTTCAGAAGAGTGAAAAGACCGTCAAGCATTTTTTTTTTTTCCTTCAGAAGAAAATTGTTCTTTTTTCTTAGTAAAGAGCGTTTTCTTGTCTAATTTTGTCTTCAGTGAAACATTGAAAAGACCTGTCAAGAAAATGCTCTTCTTCAGCGACATAGTGGCATGTAGCGAAGAATTAATCGAGTGAGTGAAGAGACGAAGAAGAAAAGAAGAAAGAAGAATTAGAAGAAAAAGAAAAACAAAAAGAAAAGAAAAGAAGAAAAAAAGAAGAAGGAAAAGAAGAGGAGGAAGAAGGAAAAAATAAGTATAAGAAAGAAAAAAAGAAAATGAAAAAGAAAAGAAATGAAGAAGAAAAGAAGAGGATGAAGGAAAAAAGAAGAATAGAAAGAAGAGAAGAAGAAGAGGATGAAGGAAAAGAAGAATAAGAAAGGAAGAAGAAGAAAAAATGAAAAAGAAGAAGAAATGAAGAAGAAAATGAAAAAAGAAGAAATGAAGAAGAAAAAGAAGAGGAGGAAGAAAGAGAAAAAGAAGAGGAGGAAGAAAGAGAAAAAGAAAGGAAAAGAGAAAAAAGAAGAAAGAAGAATAAGAGGAAGAAGAAAAAAAAATAGAAAAAAAGAAAAAGAAATGAAGAAGAAAAACAAGAATAAGAAAAAAACGGATTTAGCGACTTTCCTTTCACCAAAGAGAAAGCAGAAGGAAATGAATCTCCTTCCATTCCAAAGATGGACGAAACGCCAAAAAAAAAAAAAAAAAAAAAAAAAAAATAATAATCCACCTTGGAAGAAGTGGCCAAAGACGAAGGAAAAAATAGTTCATCTTATTAAAGTTCAGACATCTAAGTTCAAGTCTTGGGATATCAACATCAAGTAAAATGGGCTTGTGGCTGATTTATATCCCAATAACATCAAAATGATTAGAGATCGACAGAAATGAATGTTGATTTAAGATGGCAGCATCTTCAATGGCTTGACTTTTTTTTTCTTTCTATAAAATCCTTATTTCTACCCATCTGTCTCTCTCTCTTCTCTTCTCTTTTCTCTCTCTCTCTCCCCCCTTTCCTCTCTCTCCTCTTCCCTTTCCCTTTCTCTCTCTCTCTCATTCCCTTTCTCTCCTCTCTCCTTTCCCTTTCTCTTCTCTCTTTCTCTCATTCCCTTCTCCTCTCTCCCCTCCCGCCCTCCTCTCTCTCCCTTCCCTTTTTTTTTCTCTCTCTCCATTTCTCTCTCTCTCATCCCTTTCTCTCCTCTGTCTCTCTCTCATTCACACGCAGACATAACAAATTACGCAATCACAACGCACTCCCAAACACACACACACACACAACACACAACACACACACACCACACACACCCCCAACACAATCACACCCACCCTCCCAACCCCCCCCCCCACACACAAACCCTTCCATACACCCACCAAGGCACTCCTTCCACCACCTCCCCGACACCCCCCCTCCCCACCCCTCCCCCACTCCCCACGCCCACTTCAAGCACCAACGGCCAGGGTTACTCACAGCACGGCGCCGCCCTGGGTATGTTGCTCTCCTTCAGATGCATAGCCAGTTCCTGTAGAGAGAGGGAGAGAAAGAAAAATGTAAATATGTATAGAGAGAGAAAAAAAAAAATACAATGTGAATAACTGTTCGGAAGGAAATAGATAGGTAAGGTTTAATGGTATGCTAATTTAAGTTCGTGGTTTGTAGGGTGGTAATTATTAATGCTTCGTGTAAGAGTTTTTTTTTTAAGGTATAAATGATTGTCTTATATGATTAGTTTTTTTTATACAGGGAAAACTGTCACAAGCAAAATCTGAAACATATCAATGTATATACCGAAGAAATGTAATAAAAAAAAAAAAAAAAAATAAATATATATATATATATATATATATATATATATATATATATATATATATATAAGTTATATTATAAAAGTTTAAAAGTTTATTCTTTCAAGGCATTATCGCATACTAGGCTCTGTCTCATAGGCTTTGCGAGAATATATATTTTTTTATTTTTTGTATACAAAAGTCAACCCAAGAAAGCAAGCAATTTACATGCTGGCACAGAAAAGAAAAGAAAAGAAAAATTAGAGTGAGACACAGATCGCATTTCCGCTCTCACAAAAAGAAAAGAAAAAAGTGTTAAGACAGAGATAGCACTTTCGCGTCTCCAAAAGAAAAAAATGTAAAAAAAAAAAAGTAAATGAGACAATGATAGCATTTCCGAATCTCCGCAAAAAAGAAAAGAAAAAAGTGTTAAAGAGAGACAGAAATAGCACTTTCGCACCACAAAAAAAAAAAAAAAAAAGAAAAAATGTTAAAGAGAAACAGAAATAGCACTTTCACACCTTCACAAAAATACAAAAAAAGGAAAGAAAAAGGTTAAAGAGAAACAGAAATAGCACTTTCGCACCTCCACAAAAAAAAAGAGGAAAAGTGTTAAAGTGAGACAGAGACAGCAAGAAAAAAATAGATATCTCCACACAAAAAAAACAAAAAAAAGTGTTAAAGTGAGACAGAGATAGCAAGAAAAAAATAAAAATTAAGTGAGATATCTCCACAAAGAAGAAAAAAAAAGTGTTAAAGAGAAACAGAAATAGCACTTTCACACCTCCACAAAAAAAAAGAAAAAAAAAAAAAAAAAAAAAAACTGTTCAAGACAAAAAGACAAAAAATCTTATCAAGAAAAACAGAGATAGCACTTTCCCATCCCAACCTGCCTAAGAGCTGACAGCAGGAATAAGACTCGCAGACACAGAGTGATTGGGAGAATGCGAATATAAATAATATGGCTGATACAGACCCGAAAATACCCGAGGGTTGTGACGCCTGCCAAATAGCTGACATTTGGAGTCACAGCTCAGGGAGAGAGAACGAATCCAATAAGCAACACGAAAGCACACTTGTCTTCAGAAGCACAAATGCAGATGCAACAGACGTAATGAAACACGTGCACACATACGCACATGTGCACACAGGCAAAGACGCATACGGATAGACACACATACGGACAAGCACAAACATGATCATTTATTTTATTCTTCCACATTCTCCCTCTTTTCTTTTCTTTTTTCCCTCCTTCTTTCTCTTCTTCAACTCCTCCTCCTCCCTCCTCCACTCTCCTCATTCCTTCTCTCCGATCCTGCTCCTCCTTCCTCCTCCTCCTGCCTGCCCTGCCTCCTTCACCAAACTCTAAGAGCATCATCAAAGGGAGAAGTTGGTTAAGCTCTTCAGCGAGCCATCGGGACCAAGAAAAAGAAAAAGAAAAAGAAAAAAAGCTAAAGATGAAATTATGAAAAAAATGGAAAGAGAAAAGAGAGAAAGAAAAACTAAAAAAAACTAAAAAAGCTAAATAAAAAATATGAAAAAAAACTAAAAGAAAGAGAAAAGAAAGAAAGAAAAAAAAAAAAAAAGAAAAAAAGAAAAAAACTAAAAGAAAAAAAGAAACAGAAAGAAGAAGAAAAAAGAAAAAACAGGAAGAATTAAAGGAGAGAAAGAAAAAAAGAGGAAAGAATAAAGGCAACTCGAGTGACCTCACATGACCTCAGGCCTGGAGGTCAAAAGACGGAGACAAAGGAGAGGAAAGAGAAAAATATAAAAAGGGAGAGAAGGAAAAGGAAGCATAAAAGAAAGATGAAGGGAATAGAGAAAGGAGAGAAGGAATAAGGGGAAGAAATAAAGAGGGAAAGAAATAGAGAGAAGAAGGAAAAGGAATGAGAAGATGAAGATGGAGGAGGAGGAGGTGAAGAAGAGGAAGAAGAAGAAGAGCAAGAACATAATAATAACAATAAGAGGAAGAGGAAGAAGAAGGAGAAGAAGAGCAAGAACATAATAATAACAATACAATAAGAAGAGAAGATCAAGAAGAAGAAGATAAACAGGAAGTAAAAGTAAACAAACAAGGAAGAACGATGAGAGAAAGGAAAAGGAAGAATAAAAATGAAAGGCGAAGAGAATGAGAAGCGATGATAAAGGGGGAAGAGAAATGCAGGGAGAGAAAAATAAGACAAGAAGGGAAGGGAGGTGGAATAGAAAGAAAAGAAGGAAAATAAAGAAGGACAGGAGAAAAAATCAGTGACTAATCTAAGAGTAGAAAAGGAAACGTGATTCGTACGTAATCATGTGGATTAAAAATAGATAAATATGTAAATAAATAGATAAATAAATAAAATGCATAGAGGTATAAATATCTTCAGATTTTTTTTTTTGTGGAGAAAACACTTTCATGCACACGCACACATGCACACACAGACACACACACGAACACAAACACACACACACACACACACACACACAACACACACAAATCACACAAAAAACTACCATCATCACAAACTCAAAACAACAACTTAGATCCATTCTTTCCAATAATAAACAACAAACAAACAAACCTCGCACAGAAAACCACACACGCACAAACCAAAAAAAATACAAAAATAAATAAATGAATAAAAAACAAAAATATTCACACGCACGCACAAACAAAAATAAATACAATAAATCAATAAAAAAACAAAAAAATCACAGAAAACGAAGAGGCGATTTTTTCTCTCCCCTTCTCCCTATACTTCTATAAGAGAAATAAGTTTCCTCTCCCCTTCTCCCTATACTTCTATAAGAGAAATAAGTTTCCCGTCCGTGGCACTTTCTCTTTATGGAATCCCTTGAAACAAAAGAGGGTCTGAAACCTTTATGGCGCTTGGTATTGAACTCCACGCGTTTGAAACCTTTATGGCGCTTGGTATTGAACTCCACGCGTTTGAAAACCTTTATGCGTTTGGTATTGAACTCCACGCGTTTGAAACCTTTATGGCGTTTGGATTGAACTCCACGCGTTTGAAACCTTTATGGGTTTGTATTGAAACTCCACGCGTTTGAAACCTTTATGGCGCGAACTGCGTTGAAACCTTTATGGATTGAACTCCACGCGTTTGAAACCTTTATGGCGCTTGGTATTGAACTCCACGCGTTTGAAACCTTTATGGCGCTTGGTATTGAACTCCACGCGTTTGAAACCTTTATGGCGCTCCACGCTTTTGAAACCTTTATGGCGCTTTGGTATTGAACTCCACGCGTTTGAAACCTTTATGGCGCCTTGAACTTGGATTGAACTCCACGCGTTTGAAACCTTTATGGCGCTTGGTAATTGAACTCCACGCGTTTTGAAACGGATTGAACGCGTTTGAAACCTTTATGGCGCTGGTATTGAACTCCACGCGTTTGAAACCTTTATGGCGCTGGTATTGGAACTCCACGCGTTTGAAACCTTTAATGAATACGCGTCCTTTAATTGAACTCCACGCAAATAGCAGTTTAAAAGTCGAATCCTTTTTGGCGCTTCTGTCGACTGCAGGAAGGAAGGGGAATGGAAGAAGAGAGAGAGAATAAGAAAAAGGATAAGAGAAAAATAAATGGAATAAAGAGAAAAATAAATGGAATAAAGAGAAAAATAAATGGAATAAAGAGAAAAATAAATGGAATAAAGAGAAAAATAAATGGAATAAAGAGAAAAATAAATGGAATAAAAGAAAAATAAATGAAAAAGAGAAAAAAAATGGAATAAATAAATGGAATAGGATATAATAAGAAAAGGATAATGAGAAAAATAAAATAAGGGGGAAAAAAGAAGAAAAATAAAGGGATGAGGAAAATAAAGAGAAAAATAAATGGAATGAGGGAAATAAGAAATGGAAGAAGAGAGATAGAATAAGAAAGAGGATAAGAGAAAAATAAATGGAAGGAGGGAAATAAAGAAAAAAATGAATTGAATAAAGAGAAAAATTAACATAATAAAGGAAATAAAAGAAAAATAAATGGAATGTAGGAAATAAGAAGTAGAAGAGAGATCGAATAAAGATGAAGATAAAATAAAAAAAATATGAATGAGGGAAATAAGAAATGGAAGAAGTGAGATAGAATAAGGAAAAAGAAGGATTAAAGAAAATAAGTGGAATGTAGGAAATAGGAAATGGAAGAAGTGAGATAGAATAAGAAAAAGGATAAGAGAAAAATAAATGGAATGAGGGAAATAAAGAGAAAAATAAATAAATGGGAAAATAAAGAGAAAAATAAATGGAATAAGGGAAATAAGAAATGGAAGAAGAGAGATAGAATATGAAAAAGGATAAAAGAAAAAAATGGAATGAGGAGTAAAGAGAAAAATAAATGAAATACAAGGGAATGAGGGAAATAAGAATGGAAGAAGAGAGATGCAATAAAAATAGTAAGGATTAAAGAAAAATAAATGGAATGTGAGAAATAAGAAATGGAAGAAGAGAGACAGAATAAGAAAATGAAGGGTAAAAGAAAAATAAATGGAAATAAGGAAAATAATAAGTAGGATTAAAGAAAAATAAATGGAACAAGGGAAATTAGAAATAGAATAAGAGAGATAGAATAAGAATAAGATGAATAAAAAGAAAAATATATGGAATGAGAGAAACAAAAAGTAGAATAAGAAAGGAATAATAATAAAAAAAACGGAATGAGGGAAATAATAGAATAAGAAAGGATAAATGGAATAAGAAAGATAAAAATAAAAAATAAAATGAAAAATAGAACAAAAAGAAAAAGAAAAAAAAGGAAATGAAGAAATAACAAACGTGAAAAAAAATAAAAGACAGTAAATGAAAAATATGATAAGAAAGAAAAAAAGAAACAAAAATGGAATGAAGAAATAACAATCGTGAAAAAAGTCAAAAGAAAGTAAATGAAAAAACAAAAGAAATAGAATAAGAAGGATACAAGAGAAATAAGAGGATAAAAAAAAAAAACGTGAAAAAAGTTAAAGAAAGTAAGTGAAAAAAATAAAATAATAAAAAACTTTGGCGAAAGGAAAGAACGAGTTAAAAAAAGACAAAAATGAAATTAAAGTGATAATTAAAACTATAAAATTAAATTAAAAGGAGAAGAGCATAAAGAACGAAAAAAAAAGACAAGATGAAAACAAAATCAAACTTTACGAAAAAGAAATAAAACTCACGAATGAAAAAAGAAAGAAAAAAGTTAGATAACAAGAAATCCAAACATCATGCAAAATAATAATAATAATAAAATAATAATTAATAAATAAATAAATAAATAAAAAAAAAATAAAAAAGAAACGAATTAATAGTCAGACAGACAGAAAAACAACAGACAATCAGACAGAAAAAAACACAACAGACAGACAGACATAAACAGAAAAACAACCGCAAAAAAAAAGAAAGAAAAAAAGCCTTTCCTCAAAGCTTTTCCCCTCAGCCCCGCGAAGCCTCCCCCCCCCCCCCCCGCCGTCGTCCCTCGGCAGGCAGAGGCGAAGAGGCCCAACGAGCTCCATTCCCCAAAGCTCATTCCGTAGAGAGCTCAAGGCCGAGAGAAAGAAGAAAAAAAAAAAAAAAAAAAAAAAAAAATAAGAACACGCACAGGCTAGAAGAAGCAGCTTCATGCACCCTCGGCCAGCGCAACAAGGCCGAGGAATATTCACTCGCTTTCCCTCTCTCTCTCTCTCTCTCTCTTTCTCTCCTCTCTATCTCCTCCTCGCTTTTCTCCTTCCTTCCTTCTCCATCTTCTATTAAGGCAAGACGTAGGGAGGGAGGAGGAGAAGGAAGGAAGAAGGAAAGGGAGGGAGAGGAGGGAGGATCTCTCTCTCTCCCTCTCCTTCTCTTTATCTTCCTCCTTTTCCTTCCTTCCTCCATCTCTCTATTGACGTAGGGAGGGGAGAGGAAGGGAGGAGAAGGAAGGGAGAGGAGGGAGGGATCTCTCTTTCTCTCTCCTTCTCTTTATCTTCTTCCTTCCTTCCTCCATCTCTCTATCGACGTAGGGAGGGAGAGGAAGGGAGGAGAAGGAAGAAGGGAAGGGAGGGAGAGGAGGGATCTCTCTCTCTCTCCTTCTCTTTATCTTCCTCCTTCCTTCCTTCCTCCATCTCTCTATCGACGTAGGGAGGGAGAGGAAGGGAGGAGAAGGAGGGAGGGAGGGAGAGGAGGGAGGGATCTCTCTCTCTCTCTCCTTCTCTTTATCTTCCTCCTTCCTTCCTTCCTCCATCTCTCTATCGACGTAGGGAGGGAGAGGAAGGGAGGAGAAGGAAGGAGGGAAGGGAGGGAAGGGAGAGGAGGGAGGGAGGGCAAGCCAGGGAGGCAGCAGCCCAAGGGAGCTCCACATAAACTGTACCTGCCGCGCTATCTGGGGAGGGAGAGGGTGAAGGTAATTTCCGACCTTAGGACTGCGGTGAAGGGAACGTCCCAGGATCCTACACGTTATTTTCACCGTGTTTGAGAGAGAGAGAGAGAAAGGGAGGCTATTTGCTTCGGGTCTCTCTCTCTCTCTCTCTCTTTCTCTATTTTTTCTATGAGACTCGAGTGTTTTATCTGGTTTTTCTTTCTGTACTTGAGTGCTTTATCTTATCTTTTATATCTTTGGTAAACTTTATTCTCTTTATTCCCCTCCGCGTGCGTCGAAAATCGTTTTGCAGGGAGGGAATTGGGAATAAAAGGCGGAACACTTTCCCCCGCGGGTCAGTTTAGAAAAAAAAACAAATATATGTACAGTATATTCCCAGAGAAGTCCTTTCTCTCGCAGACCCGCCCGTGCCACGAGAGTAAATATCCTGACTTGCAACCGCCGCTGCAGGACCTCTCAGACCGGCGCTGCTAGTCCTTCGCGGCATCCTCCCGAGGGGCGCTCTGGCGGCCACGTCGCGGCCCTCCCGCCGGCCGCGCTCACGGGGGCGCCGCCGCGGGCCTCGAGGGGCAGCGCGGGCGTCGGGATCTGGCCCACGCTCGGCCTCGCGAGTTGCACGACGGGAATGTACTGCGCGGCGGGGCCCCGCGGCGGGCGTCAGAAGTTGCAGCACTCCGAGTCTCGGCAGAGGGACACGCAGATGACCACGTACATGAGCATGAACATCCCGAACATGACGCACACGCTGAGGATGGAGAACACCACGAGGTCCATCTTGAGGGTCACACACGCGCGCTGCCACAGGCGCAGTCCGCTGTCCATCCCGCGCCCCTTCCTGTCACGGGGAGTCGCCCATGCTGCTGCTGCTGCTGCGACTCGCACTTTCGGCCGACCTCTTCGCGAATCCGGAGGGCCGTCGCATGGCAACACCGCAGCAGAGGTTGCCGGCGCGTCCGTTTCGGCCTCAGTTGACCTCGGGGAGGCCCTCGTGCTTGGGCTCCTCCGGCTCGACGTCCTCCGCCTTCAGCAGCGGCTGGTCCAGCCCGCGCACGAGGATGACGTCGCTGGGCTTGATCCTGGCCCTGAGCAGCGAGCCGAACCAGTGGCAGAACCGCCTGTAGGCCGAGGGGGGCGGGTTGGCGCCCGCGGTCCTCGTGTCCCAAGAGCTGGGGTTCCTGGACGCTGACGAGTCCTTGGCGCCGGCGGGCTGGTCCTTGGCCTCGGCTGCGTGGGCGCCTCGGAAGAAGCTCTTGTGCTTGGGGCTGGCGGTGAGCGCGAGGTCGTCCCTGGGCATGAGCCAGACTCGGGCGGGGGAGTCCTTCATGCTGGGTTGGTGCCTGGGGGGCCTCGGGCGCACGTGCCAAGCGCATCTCGGGGGCCCTCCGGTGCGTGCGGGTGCGGGGATCTGTACCTTCCGTCTTTGGACGCCTCGGTTTCTATTCCTCTTTTTTCTCCATTATCAGGGGTGTATTCCTTCCCTCGTTCACATATTTCCGTCTTA